CCACTTCTGAACCTCTGTGAGTTGATTGCATTTGTCAATTTGCTGGCCTTGCTCAGGTCAGGAGCTTGGACGGCTTTGGGCTTCTCCTAGAGGCTTTGTACTGGCTTAATAACAAATGTAGGAACAGCCTCTACTGAACCCCCGGGACAACCGATGTAAAGCTCTGCTAATCTCTCAGCACAAGATGATGTTGAGCTGGTTCGCTGGCTGTGGAGGTGCTCGGACCTGCAGTGGTTCTGGGATCGGCAGTGTCCTCTCTCCCAACTGAAGGACGCCCACCAGATCCGTTAGAATTTTCGCAGGGCATTGGCTCTGGAGCAGAGAACCTGGTTCAGCTCCTGACTTTACCATTTAGTGGCTGTGTGACCTAACCTCTCAAGTCAGGTTCTTTACCTGCAAAAAGGAAATAATAACACCTATATCTTCCCACTGCTTGAGAGAAAGACAAACAGACATAGAGGGACAGAGAAAGAGAGGAAAGAGATCATAACTGAGAGAGAAATGCATGGCAGAGCTTTTAAGCTGAATGCAATATGTAAAGAACACTGTTATCACTAAAATCAGCAAGTGATGAATGGCCATAAAAACAAGAACAATTTTAAAGATGTGGATGATGCAAGTAAATCAGCTATTTGTTTCATCAACTCTCACTTTCATTTCAGTGAGGATGACAATATTTATGTTTATCTCTTGGGGGGAAAATAACCATCTTGATACATTTAAGTGTTGCTTTGCCCATTTCTCTGCCTTTCATGGATGGGACACATGGCCAGGAGCAACCTTTGAATGATAGTTTTAAATTTTCTGTCTTTGAAATAAGAACCAAAGACAAATGTCAGACTCCTGGTGCACAGAAATACTGAAAAGCCCTGGTAACTCCCAGAATGTAGCTGATATTGAATACATTAGGATCCAATCATGTTTCTTTTCAGAGTGATTTGGATGAGCAGACGGAAGCTGAGATTCCAGGCCTCTAAGTTCAACCGCATATTCTTTCTTTGTCTGGCATGGTTTACAGCAGTGGCTTCCGAAGTTGAAGTGGACCAGCACCTGAGGGAGCGTGTGTAACAATACTGGAGTATGAGAAAATGGATTGGAACTTTCATTACATTTAGTTTTATATTTTTAATATATAGTATAAATATAGGTACACACATATGTACATATGTGTGTATGTGTATGTATTGCTCAAACATGTTTACTGAGGGGACCACAATCAAACAATTTGGGAACCACTGTTGTAAAAGGGGTTTGGAGTTCGATCTGGGTTTAAAGTTCTCTGTCTCCTTAGTGATCTGTTTCCAAATAACTTACCAGATTTCAGTTATTTTAGGGGAATGAAGAGAAAGCAGTCGACTCGAGGCCTGACATTACCACTGACTCACTGCTGACTCACTGTGTGGCCCTGGAGAAGTTACTTAGCCTTCCTGAGCTACATTTATTTCACTTCTCACTCAGACAATGGGTATAATAATACCTTCCTTACGAAGTTTTTATGAGGATTAAATAGAATAATGCTTGTTCTGATTTGGGGTTTGGAAGCACTGCTCTAAGGCACGTGTTTAAGATTGCCCTCTTTGTCCCACCTCCCGCTTGCCGAATCTTCTTTGTGTCCTCTATTTCTCAATGGCTTACTCATTTATGGTTATTCTGAAGGAAAATGGGACAGGAAGAGTGGGTTCTAGTCCTAATATTACCATTTACTTACTGCTGAGTCAACATTCAGCTAGTATTGACTGAGCACCCTGCTGTGTCTCTGACACATGCTTTAAATTATCTACTCTTCATAGAATTCAAAAGGGATTTGCTCCATTTTCAGATGAAGAAGCCCAGCGGTACTGTCCAAGGGGACTTCTGCAATGATGGAGACATGCTCTATCCAGGCTGTTCAATGTGTAGGTGATAGCCAAGTGTGGGCATTAAGCACTGGAATATGGCTGCTGTGACTGAGGAACTGAATTTTTAATTTTCTTTACTTTTAAATAATTTCAGTGTAGATAGCTACATGTGACTACTGGCTGCTGTACTGCACAGAACAACTCTAGAGACTGTTGAACTAGCATCCACGTGTAAGGCAAAATTAAGACTGTCAAAGGTTGAATTGTGTCTCCCCAAATTCATATGTTGAAGTCCTAACCCCTAGTCCCAGAGAACGTGATTGTATTTGAAGACAGTTCCTTTAAAAGTAAAATGAGGTCAGATGAATGGGCCACAATCCAACATGACTGGTGTCTTTATAAGAAGAGATGATTAGGACACAGACACACACAGGGGAAGACCTTCTGAAGACATGGAGAATGTGGCCATCTACAAACAAGCCAAGGAGACAGGCCTCAGAAGAAACCAACCTTTCTGACACGTGATCTTGGACTTCTAGCCTCCAGAACTGTGAGAAAATAAACTTTTGTTGTTTAAGCCACCTAGTGTAGGGTGTTTGTTACAGCAGTTCTAGCAAACTAAAAGAAAACCTTTTCAATTATATGACAATTTAGTTCACTTACAGCAAACTCTTTCAATGAATTCATCAAGAATGCATTCCAATGTCATCTCAATAAATTTAATAAAAAAGAATGCATTCTCTCTCTCCCTCTCTCCCTGTGTGTGTGTCTCTCTCTCGCACACACAAACAGAATTTAAAATGTAAGATACAAAAAAATATACAAGGAATAGTAGTTGAATGAAGAAAGCAGTAAAATTTATAATTAGGTTCAGATAACCACTGATGCATAAGGAACAAAACTAATTACAACCTGGAACTAAAATCCCAGATAATCTACGTGTGGGAGGTGGTGGGCAGGAAGTTTCGCATCCCATGGAAGAAACAGAATATAGCTACCAATTAAATCTAGATGTCAATAACAAATATATATTTATTGTAGCATTAGTTTTTAAATTAGAGAGAATCATTTCTAATCATAAGAGAAAAACATGACACAATGAAAACTATTAAAAGTCCAGAAAAGAGCCCTAGCCAATTTGGATCAGTGGTTAGAGTGTCAGCCCATGGACTGAAGTAAAGGGTCCCGGATTAGACTCTAGCCAAGGGCACCTACCTTGGTTGCAGGCTCGATTCCCAGCCAGGTCAGGGTGTCTCTCACCTCAATGTTTCTCTCTCTCTCCCCCCTTCCACTCTCTCTGAAAAGCAATGGAAAAAATATCCTCCTTTGAAGATTAAAAAGAAAAAAGGCCAGAAAAGAAAAAAAGAAACACTATGAAAATATAACAAAATGAGATGAAAGGAGTAATTCCATATGTATCCAAAATCACTGTAAATGTGAGTGAGCTAAAATCCCCTTTTAAAGGTGACTCAAGTTAGTAAAACCCAAAATATTGTCAGTTATTAACTCTGGGAAGGAGAGTAGGATTATGGGTGGAAACTTTTATATTTTGCCCTACACATATTTTTGTTTGTTTAGTCTTTCCCAATAAAAATGCATTCCTGTGCTGTATAATTAGAATACCTTTTTTAAGAGCCAGAGACATTATAGTCAATCCCAGATTCCTGGCTCCGTAAATAATTCTACTATATACATTGCATCTCCCCTTAAGCAATCAAATCCCTTCTTTAGACCTTAATATCTGTATCTATAAAATGAAAGTGGTGGAACACATTTATGACTTTTAAATTTTGTCCCAAAGAAGTATTTTAGAAGCTTTGGGGCCTCAGGGAAAGGCTATGTGAGTGGGACTATTCGACCACCTATTTATTTCAAACAAGAAAGTTCCTCTTTTATCTGCTATATATATTGATGTTCCATTTAATATTTATCTATGGAAAAAAGTATTCTCATTCTAAAAAAAACACAAAAACCCAGAAAATTTGAAATCTGCTATTCTAGGAGACTTCTAAAGTCCCTTACAACTTTAACATTCTAGAGTACTCACCATTTCACCATTTCCACGAAGAGTAGACTTGCATGAAAACATAGACCAAGGATATTTCATAAGTTGTGTTGTGTTCATATTTGTGACATTAACACAACCCTTTTTACAGTGAAATATTCTCTCAACCAATTTTTTTTGTAGGCATGTAACTAAAGGGCTAATATGGCTGAACTGAAAGGCTGGATTATATATACCCCTCAATTAGTTACTGCCTACATCTAATCTCAACATCCAAGTCAACACTAGTGGAAAGTGCCTTCACCTGAGAGACAAATGACCTGAATTTCCATCTGGAATCTGCCAATGGCACATTATCTGGCCTTGAGCAAGTTAGGTGCCTCAGTTACCTCAGCCATAAATGATGGAATTAGTCTATTAAATTTCTGAACTTCTTGCCAGCTATCGAATTCTACAATTCATGTGAGTCCTTGATGCTTGATCAAAGCCAAAATATGTGCATACCAGGCAAAAAGAAATCAGACCTCCAATGAAAATGTGGGTTTACAGAGACTTATGAAGACTGGTCATAACTTCGATGCCCTGACATGTTAAATTCTTAATAGAAAAAGATGGTCAGCAAAGTTTCTCACAACTTTTTAGAGAAAACTTTTTTTTCATAGAATGGTGGGCCGTGGCATGACAGGCCCCTGATGATTACTGAGCTTTTTTCCTGAAGCTTCTTTGAAGAGCTTATCTGAGTATCGCTTCAGACACCCATCACTCTTATTTTTAGCTCTGAGTTCTCTGCACGAGTGTACTGACCCGTGCCTTGGAGTTCAAGTGGGCTCCCAGATATGGCTCATGATTCATGTGCAGGTACCTCGCATTGATTTCCAGAAAGGTCAGAGGAGTAGGAGCCTGGAAAAATGATTTTAGACTTAAAATCCTTCTTTGCCCTTGTTCCTGTTCCAACCACTCGATCAGAAATTTACACTCCTCAGATTGATCCCTTGGTGCCCTAGGCGACTGGCAGTGAAAACAGAACCCAAGCTATATTGTTCACCAAGGGCCCCACAGCTGGTGTGGGGGGAACAAACTCAGGGCTTTGGTCACAGGCTATTTTCAGCCTCTGATAGCAGTTGTGTTACTCATGTCTCCCCTCGGCCTCCCTCCTGCCTTCCCTCTGCAGGCCAAGGCTGGTGACAGCCTCCATATATTTAAAAAGGACGTTGGCCCCTCCTTACTCAGTTGAGCTGACAGAGACCCAACAGGCAGGTAAGTGGAGCAAGACGAGTGTTCGGGCTGGGGGGGGCTGCTGGCTTGGCGGCTGGGGGGACGTGAAAGGGCCCACAGAGTGCGGATGTGTTTCACTCCCAAGTACGAGCACCCACTCTGGTTCTGTGTGAGGAGACTCAAGTTATGCTCGACTCTGGTGTGGACCTACCAGTTGTTTAGGAAATTCCTAAAAAGGCGATTAATATTTGGGGGCTTAAGGGAACCTCACAGACAGAGAAATGAGTAATGTATTATTTTTGGTCTAAAACTATTTTCATGGTGGAATAATGTTTCCTATTGTCTTAGTCAAAAGACCCAAATTCTAGTCCTAGAACCACATAATGAATGGATGTGTGACTTTTAAGAAGTTCCTTCCCACAGGGTCTTGGTCTCCTCTGTAAGGATCAACATGGATGTGGTGACATTTTTCTAGACTGTAAAGTGCTGCGCAGTTCTAAAGCGGTGTAATGGATACAATACAGCAAAAGCCAGCTCTCCAGTGCTCAAAAAACAAGGAATTGTGCTCTTCCAAATGTGTAGGTGAATGGCTGAGATTTTAGTCTTCACCTCACCCTGCCTTGTATATGGGAAATACTCAGTGACGCTTGTTGCTTTAAAACAGATTTTATATCCCAAGGATGTTTAGCAACAGACTTGCTTTTAATAATTTTAAATTAACCAAAACTATCTGAAAGAGACATTACTATGTTGAAAATCCATTAAGAGCTCTATTTAGTAGGAGGATAATTGCCAGCCGGGAGTGAGGGGTGATCCCCCGTGTTTCCTCTCTGCTTCAGTCAAGGATTTTTTATTTCTTTTCTTCCTTCCTTTCTTTTTTTGTACATCCCAGTGAGTGACAGGGAGGAGTGTGACTGAAAATGAGGAGTGGTTTTGAGCGATGGTCTGAGTGGAGATGCCACTCAAAGAACAAAGCCACCGCCTCTAATTTCTGTTCCCATCCCTGAGCTGGCGCGATGACTCCCCCAAGGAGGAGGAGTCGGTGACCTAGTCAGGAGAAGCCTCGTCTCCCTGCAGTACAGTTCAGTGCACTTTAATGAGCTTGGGTTGACCATGTCCTGAGTTGGGACTGGGGGGATAGAGGCAGCACTCATGGGGGGAAGGGTGGGCCGGAACCGCAGGAAGGGCGCGGGAGGAGGGAGAGCCTGCGCTCTCAGTTAGCTCTGGGGACTGAATCTCCAGGTTGGGTATATCCGCCTCATCACAGCGTATGTAAAACTGCTTTATGACCCAGCAAATGTAAGGGATTCTTCTGGCTTGGCTTTGGTTCCAATTAGATCAACTCAGTCATGAAAATGAGCCCTGGCTGTTGGCAGGGAGTAGAGCTGACCCGTAGGGCTTGGTGGCCTCTCCAGCCCAGGCAGACAGGTGCTCTGCCACCCACATGCACAAGCCATTCATTAAAGGGAGGCAGGCCTGAACATCACTTCCCTGACTTTCCATTTTCTGAGCAGGAAAGTTAACGTAAGGCCACCTACCCTAAAGGGATTTGTTAGAATCTAATGAGACAAAGTATAGGAAAGTACTTTGCAAAGCTTTAAAAAGCTGCACAAATACATGGGGTCTTTGAGAAAAGCCACAGTGCCAACCCCGATGGGCTGCAGGAGGATTTCCTGCTAAGTTCAAATGTGATGATAAAAGTGCAGGGGTCAGAGTGAATGATTGTTTTCCAAGAGAAAGGACCCAAACTAGGAACATAATAAACAGGAACTACAACTCCTGAGCAGGTAGATTTCCAATGCCAAGCGTGCTGCTCAGATGTCTGGGATTACTGTACCCAGGGTGGGGCTTCATGGCCAAAGAGAAATGTGAAAAAAGGCAGGAAGACAGTGATTGTTTTAAGGGCCATGGAGGATGGAAGACGTTTCTGAGCCTCATCAGGGGAAAGGGCTGGTCATGATTTGCTGGTTGTTTACTGGCCTACTTCGGGTGTGGAACAACATTAGCTTATTTAACTGGCACAGAGAATCCTGCAAGAAGTCATTCACTTCCTTAAACAAAAGAAGAGAAGTAATTACTCAGGGTCACATGGCTAGAAATTGGCAGAGCCAGTATAATGTGGTCCTTAAAAACAAATGACAGAGGTCAAAATAGAACAAAGTGAGCTTCTGAGAGCGAATGTTGGCCCTACTTCGGAGACGACTTCAGAAAAGATGTAATATGACCCAAGTGTCACAGCCTAAGTGCAGTGGGCAGGTATGTCTATCATGTCTAAGTTTTAAAGAGATGACGGCCAACACCTGGGTTTATTTCTGGGAGGGGAATAAGTGACTTGTGCTTCCCAGGCTTTGTGAAAGGGCCTCTCCACGGGAGACTTCACATGCCTGTTCAGGAGCTTCAGAGGAAGCTATTGACCTTGAGTGTCCTACACGCGGGAGCTGAAGGTCACTGTCTCCCTGGGCCACGGGGAGGGACTCTGCTTGGGTTTACTGCTTCCCTTCAAGTGCAGGTCACCAGAGAGGTCAGCTGGTGTTAGGTCACCAGAGCTGCCAAAGAGAGGAGGCGGCTGTCCCGGGGCACAGGCTTAGGACCTTGCCTGACATGCCGTCCCTGGGACCGGCACCCTGATCCCCTCAAGGGGGCTGTCTCCCTGCCTGGCTGGGTCTGTTCCTGGGTGCAGTGCGCTCTGAAGGCTGAGAAACAGAATTGGTTCACAGTCTGAACCAGAAGGGCCATTGAGCAGAAGTGAGGAGAAATTTGCATGTCTCAAGGAAATGGATTTAGGCCCTGGCTGGGTAGTTCAGTTGATTAGAGCATCCTCCCGACATAAAAACGTTTTGAGTTCAGTCCCCAGTCAGGGCACATACAAGAAACAACCAATGAATGGATAAATACGTGAAACAATAAATCAATGTTTCTCTCTCTCTCTCCCTTCCTCTCTCTTTCTAAAATCAATAAATAAAAATTTAAAAAGAAAACGGACTTAAAAACTAGAGATAAAATTATAATAATGAAAGCAACATAAATTATTAAACACCTGCTATGTATTAAGAATTTATAAATAGTAGCTTTGCTATTATTATTATCTTATTTAACCTGAAAACAACCTTCTAAGACAAGCCTTCTCACCATCTCTTTACATGAAAAAGGACCCTGGGCTCAGAGGTTTTGAGCCATTTGCCCAAGGTCCAACAGATAGTGTTTTTTGAACTCTGGCCATTTTTCCAAAGCCTTTCCACAGTGTGTTTCCACTATGCTATGTCATCTCCCTTACCTGGATTAAGAGGATAGAGAAAAGGCAGTGTTTGAGAGGGGATGCAATAGGGCAGCATTTCTGCAGGGTGAGGCTCCATTCGCCGTTCAGCTCCCTAAATCTGTCTCAGGGCCTGAAGGACCCTTGAAAGGGCTTCACGACATTACAGCACTTGGACATTCATCCCCAGTCTAGGTGAAATCAATAGTGAGAGAGACCTCTTCATCCCCAAAGGAGCCCTTCCCACATTTGAATAGCACTGACTCCTAAAAAGTGCTTTATTTTACTGAATAGAATTCAGTCTCCCTGTTATTCCCACCCATGAGTACTGTCCCACGGAGAGACGTGGGTTTATCAGATCCCAATTCCCATCATCTGGGACATTTGGTTAACAGAGGTGCTGAGCCTTGTCCCTTCCCCAGTATGTTGTGAGCAGGGACATGGGATACAGAACCAGCCTAACTGGGGTTTGAATAGCAGCTCTGCCACTTACTAGCTGTGCGACCTCAGACAGGTCACTTAAACTCTGAGTCTCAGTTTTATTTACCTGCAAAATGGAGATAACAAAATTAGCTCTGCAGTGCTGTTGTACTAAAGATAGTTTATACAAAGCAACTGATGTATTTATGGTTAACAATAAGTAGTAGTTAATGATAATATAAGAACACAGCTTTGGGGTCAGAGACACAAGTTGCAACTAGCCATGTGACCTTGACCAATGTAATTTCCCTTAGACTCCACTTCCCCATCTCTAAAGTAAATTTTATAATGTTACCTACCTTGAAAGGTTGCTGTGAAGATTAAGTGAGATATGACACAGGGTCTGGCCCAAGGGTTGATCTCCTGACACACATTAGTTTCAACAATAATATTATATTAGCAATAATGACAATTATCAGTTAAATTCCAGATAAAAGTTTCTATGACCCAAAATCTGTCTCAGCCAGTGTAGAAAATTTAACTCACTGTAGGATGATCAGGCATCTAACAGGATGACTAAATATACCAACACTGAGCTAAAAATGGCATGTTTGCTTGAGGTCTCTGCTCGATCAGGGCCTAAGGTTTCTTCCCAGGTACTTCAATGGACAAAGAAGAAACTGAATCACTCAGTGCCCATTGTATCCACCCCATCCACTTTTGCCCTGAGGTATCACCTTTCAGCTCCATAATTGGTCGTTTAAAAACAAACAAAAAACAAAAACAAAAGTGTTGGGTTAAGAAGAATATACTTAAGATACACAGCTGGTTTTTCTTTTAAAAATCCACAATGACGCATAACCACTTAGAGTTAGTGCAGAACTAATGAGCCCTTACATTTTGTAATGCTCTCCAGTTTACGCAGTGATCTGACACACTTGCAGTGCTACTGTCCTGCCAGCATAGTGAAACAGACGGGGCTATGGCGCCTGTTTTAGAGAGGATGCTGAGGCTCAGAGAGCTTGCAGGGTTTTCCCAGAGCATACAGCTTCGAAGAAGTAAGACAGAACAGGGACTCTGGTCTCCTGCATTTCAGCCAGGGCTTTCCCAGCCCCTGCTACAGCACCTTCCCAGTATCATCTCTTCCACAGCATTACTCATTAAGAAGCCTATACAAGTCATCTCTCACCGGACCTGGGGACCCGAAAGTCTGGTGCCCTCTTCTCCCTTGCTGACGTAGCAGGGCCCTGCGTTCTGTCCCGTCTTAGTTAATCTCAGACTGCGCTCCACTTCTATCCTGAGCAACTTCCTCTGTGACAACAGCCATCTCCCCAACTGGCCCAGGAGATGGATGAAGATTGGGACCCAGGGGACAAATGGGGCTGAGTGACAGGCAAGCCTATATTTGGTGTCCCACCTTCAATGACCCTCGCCTGTGCCAGGCAACACGGATAAACAAATGGCCCATCCCTTGGGATCTTGCCAGCGTAAACGCACATTACAGGCCTGGCTAGGGGAGTGTTGAGACACAGGAATTCCACAGCAATGCAGGAGGCTAAGAAGGTTATGTGTGCAAGCCAGAGCCTAAGTGTGCTTTCAAATCCTGGCAACTTACTGAGCAAGCTGGTGCTATTTGAACACCCTGATATAATGGGTGCAACCATGCCTTGCCTTTGAATAGCTTCTCAATAAAGTCCCATTTACCCCTGGTTCTGATTTTCTATGATTCCGGTTACCGGCAGTCAACCTTGGTCCAAAAATATTAAATGGAAAATTCCAGAAGTAAACAATTCATAAGTTTTAAACTGCGCATGTTCTGAGTAGTGTGATAAAATCTCATGACGTGCCACCCAGGACGTGAACCTCATATTCACGCTGTATACACTCCCCGCCCCCATCAGTCACTTAGTAGCCGTGTTGGTTTTCAGATCAGCTGTTGAGGTATCCCAGTGCTTGTGTTCAAGTCACCCTTGTTTTACTTAATGACAGCCCCAAAGTGCAAGAGGAGCAATGCTGGCGATTCAGATATGCCAGGGAAGCCATAAAGTGCTTCCTTTAAGGGAAACTGTATAAATAGGGTTCACTACTCTACGTGGCTTCAGATATCCTCTGGGGGTCTAAGAACATGTCCCCAGCAGATGAGTGGGGGGCTACTGTGCTGCTTTAAATTCCATCATATTTCCATGACCTCCACAATGGACTTGTGAGGAAAGCTCAGGAGATAGTATTATCGCCATTTTCCACCCAAGTTCAAGGTCACAAGGTGGAGATTAGAACCCGTGTCTTCCAATTCAGAATGCTTTACAACACCCTCTGCCTTTTGGCCTTTAAGCATTGGAAGGAAAAAAGCAGAGATGTCTTCTGTGTTTGGCCTCCACAGCTACAATTCCATCTTTAGAAATGGAACTGAGCACCTGTTTAATAGAATGCTTATGGATTTCTATTTTGGGTTTCAAGTCCTGACATATGTATGTCAGATATTTATGATCACTTTTAAAACACCTGTGCTACGATACGTTACTTTGTAAAGAAGTTATTATCTATAATCGTATTCTCACTTTGAAAAGTATCACATGTAAGCAATTGCTTAATAAACACATGCACACACATCCAAGAGGCATCTCTCTCCCTCATTAACTTGCAGGACATGCCAATGAAATCTCCACTGGAGATCTGAAATGAGAAATTTGACCTAGGGTGGTTTTCATTGAAAATTTCCACATCATTAATTTCACAAGTGTCACTGTCACATTCCTGGATATATATGACATTTCTCCTCTATTTTATGTTAAATTGAAACTCTGGATCAAAATGAACATGAGGAAAATTATGTGACTCTATTCTCTTTCAGAGAATATATCATCTTTAATCAGAAAAGGAAGTTAGCTAAGAAAATAGTCCCAAGTGTTTACTTATGCCTCGCCGTTTTGTAAATGAAGGGTTTAGTCAACCTTGAAAATCTACTCCAATCTTAAAAGTTCTAAAAATTTTAATGGAGCCCGGCCGGGCGTGGCTCAGCAGTTGAGCGTCGACCTAGGATCCAGGCGATCGGGGTTCGAGTCCCGGTCAGGGCTCATGCCCGGGTTGCGGGCTCAATCCCCAGTCGGGGGCGTGCAGGAGGCAGCCAATCAATGACTCTCTCATCATTGATATTTCTCTCTCTCTCTCTTCCTCTCCTTTCCTCTCTCTGAAATCAATAAAGATATATTTAAAAAATAAATAAAAATAAAAATTTTAATGGAGTAGAAAAATAAATAATTTGGGCTCTCTGATTAGTGGATATTAAAGCCTCTATGCCTGTGTGTTCTCTTCTCTGCCTGGAGTGTTCTTCCCCTTTTCTCTGTCTGGTGAACTCTGAGTCATCCTTCAAAACCCCATTTGGGTGTGCTGTCTTCTGTGGTCCTCCAACTCACTGCTTTCTTCTCCAATCTAAACGTGGGCAGCCATTCCCTCCCTCGAGTTTTCATGGCACTTCTCACCAGACTCTCCTCTGGTGCACAGCGTTCTGGTCCCTGCCTGTCTTCCTCGGTAGAACTTGGGCTTCTCAATTCTAGGGGACACAGATCGCTCATGTTTTACATCTTCTTCCCCCTGTTCCCTCACCAGTACCTGGTGCAGTGCTTGACACATGAGAGTTTGGTAGTAAATGCATGCTGAATGAATGAATGAATGAATGAATGAATGAATGAATGAATGAATGAATGAATACAGACTTGATCTCAAGCCTTTCAACTCAAAATCCATTACTCTTTCCACTATGCTAAACAATTTGAACTATAGAAATAGAAGCATTAAATGTTTCCTTTAAAAAAAAGTTATTTTCTAAAATTGTACTGAATTAAAAGAGCTGCTTCTATGAGAGGAAGGATAGGATGTTCCTGGCTACCCTCACACTGTTTTTGTAAATAGGAAAAGCTCCTTGCAGGGACATTCAGGTAGGGATGTTCCCTTTGGTCCGAGTATCGGGTTCAGTGGTCTGTTTGCTATTTACCTCCTGTTTCTTAGCAAAACCTCTCTTTGTTATGAGGCTGGGAGACACATTCCTGACCAGTGACCAGGAAGGCTTAGTGGCAATCGCCAACTATTACAAGAAGGTGAATAGTTTCCCAGAAGGGAAAGAAAAAGTCAGCAGCAGCCACCTGGAATGACCTGATAGTGTTTGGTGTCAATGACAAAATGACACACTAGGCTTCTTAGAAACCAAAGGGTCCCAGCGAAAATTCAGCCCCCCTGAGGTTGGCAGGATTTCAGAAATTTTCACTGAGTATTGATGACATGGTTTTGCTCTGGGGAAACTGAAAACTGGATTCATACTTACACACAGACACAGAAAGGAAAACAGTTTTTTGATGTTCCTCCTTGCCTAATATCTCTTAAACTTAGCTCTCTAGTGAGGAGGCAGCGACGGCCCAGGGCTGTGAGTATCAGCAGCCCCTTGCAGCAGGATGTGCTCAAAGGGTGCGGAAAGAGACAGCAGCATCACCCGGCTCCTGGGATCACACCTGGCACCTCGAGCTCTGTCAAGCCCCTTCCTACGCATCATGTCACTTGATCCTCTAAACTGCCCTGTGAAGCAGCAAGGAAAAAATGACTCTCTTTATAGTATGGCTGGGAAGACAGATGTAAGAGAAGCTACGAGGCTCCTCTCGATGCGCACAGTGAATTGTGGGTAGCCTCGGAAGCAGAAGGGGGGTTTCCAGACCACTGATCTAGAGTAGCGCTTATTGCCTGGGCTAGGATATTTCTTTAAAAAGGAATTAATGAATAGGAAGAATACATCTGAACAGGATATTTTATATAGTATATATTTTTATCAGCAAGATTAGCTAAGGCTTTGCCACCCAAAGGGTTATCCACTGCTAGCAGCATCAGCACTGCCTGAAGACTGTTAGAAATGCAGAATTTCCTGCCTCTCCCCAGATCTACCAAACCAGAACCTGCATGTTATTAGCAAGATCCCAAATGAATCGAGAAGTGCTAAGCTAGATAAGAAGATAATACCACTTGATATGTATAATACCATTTTAGTAGGGTATTGCCACTTCTGATGGAGTATTTTTTAAAACACTAGATGGAAAAAATAATAACAGTTAATATTTGTATATAATTTTATATACACAAATTTAGCTCATCTGTTCCTTCCAGGAACTCTGCCAGGCACAGGTGCTTTTGAAATTTAACAGGAGAGGAAACTGAGTCCCAAAGTAGTAAAGTGACTTCCTCAGAGCCTTATGCAATGACTTGCACACAGTAACTATTTGCTGAACGAACAAACGAATGAATGAACGAATGAATGGATGAACTACCAAACAAACTGGGGCAGAGTCCTAGTCTTCAGACCACTAAACTACCAATGATTGGTTCACTCCCAAGGCCGCCTAAATTTAGGGTGTTTGCTTTATATCCTGTTAGACTTGACCTTGGTCAGAAAGTCTTCAAGATGCCGAACTGGGGTGGAGGAGCAAAATGCGGAGCCTGCGAAAAGACAGTCTACCACGCGGAAGAAATCCAGTGCAACGGAAGGAGTTTCCACAAGACCTGCTTCCTCTGCAGTGAGTTGGGTGAACACCGCGAGGGCCCCTCAGTGTCCAGGGGGTGCTTCAAAGTTCACATTCAGCCACAGACACTTACATATCAGTGGTTCTCAGAGTATGGTCCCTGGACCAGCAGCTTTAGCATCACCTGGGAATTTATGGGTCCCACCTTAGAAGGGGATTGTGCTTTCCTGAGCACCCTCTCTCTAACCACTTGCTCAGCTCTGAAGCCATTTCCCTGCAGCTCAAAGTCATAACAAGCTGGCCTGCCATTGCTCTCATTGGTGAAAACTTGAACCCGGTGGCGACATTTACCAAGTGTGACTTGGCAGAGAAAGACAACCATTAGTTATCTGGACAGGACGGATTTGGCTCTAGGTGTCTTTGCAACTGGCCAGCTGTCACTGGAGTCAGCTGCAAATGGCTTTTCCTAAGAAAGAACACGTGTCAAACAGGGAAACACGTGCCAATTCTGTTTAAGAGTCAAAAAAGGGAGAAGTTCAGGGCCTGGGCACCAGTCACTTGACAAAGGAAATTTTTACCATCACCTGCCAGACATAAATTCACAAATGTTCAAGATGGGGCAATTTTAAGACCCCATGGCTCACCTGGGAGTCTGGCTCTGCCTGACTCACATGACTTTGGACAAGTCATTTCTCACCTTTGAGCCTGGGTCTGGAGCATCAGTAGCAGAGCCAGGAATAGAATCTGTGTCTTCAGACTCCCTCTAGTCTCTTTGACATGAATGCATGTGGAGTTTCTTAGTAGCCAGCCCTCTTTTGGGAGAATAGTCTGTGTTGGCAATTTACCTTCTTTGCTTCCCTCCAGCAGATCTGGCTTGAGGGTCAGCTTTACTGGACATTTGGCAGATCCCCAACCCCATAGTCCCTCACCCCACCTCCCTGCCTCAGCCCAGTGACCACAAGGCATCACACTGTTTCAAACAGAACTTCAAGGGTTGGGCTCCATCTGTTAGGGCAGGAGATACTCCATCCTTAAGCTGCCAGAAACAGTAATGTTTTATCTGCTGCAGGTGTTTCCACTATCCCTCACCTCCCACAGCAAACATAAATATAATCGAAGAAAGGGAAAATACCACTCTGAGTGATTGGGTTGGCAGATTTACTAATGCTTTGGGTTTTAATAATGGGTAATTCTTTTTAAGTCACTGGACACATCCATCAGGTTCATTATTATTATTACACTTATCCAGACATCATTGCTCAAGAGAGTTTATCCCATAACCCTCTGGCTTTTGTCCAAAAATAGTCTGTGTTCTTTGTAAGTGGAGAAATATTGGAAAGAACACTAGAATTGGCTAAAAATGACTAGTCTGGGTTCTGCCATATACTCTGAGACCTTGGGCAAGTCATTTCTCCATCAAGCCTCAATTTCCCCATCTATAAGATGGAGATGGTTATACCTACTGTACAAGTTGTTACAAGAAGAAAGCTGGAGTTCTTGATATGGAAATCCAGCCTTCTAGGCCTTTAATCTCCTTTGATCAACTTTGATACCTGAGTGGGAACAGATATGATAGTGAAGCTCTCCGTGGTAGGGGTGTCTTGTCTTTCCCAGTCAGCAGGAGGATGCCCCTGTTCAATGGAGCCATGGTAGAAGGAATATGAGCTTTTGGTGGTGCATTCCTTTCCACCCTTTGATGTTTTCCTTAGAACTCGCAGGTGGGATGGGGATCTGAGCAGTATCTGTTTCTAAAGTGGTAGAAAGAAAGATCCTAGAGAGAAGCACTCTTCTTTATATTATCATTGCAAAACTTGCCTGTCCACAGGCAACCCTATAATTGCCAGAAATGGAGTTCAGAGAGGCAAAATCTACCTAAGCCCATCCCACCAATGTTTGCCTAACTTCTAGACAAAGCTTAATCCTCCCTACCAGAGCTGTCCAAAAGAAATGTAATGCAAGTCACATATGCAAATTCAAATTTCCTAGTAACTATATTTTTAAAAGGTACAAAGAAACATGTGAAATTAATCTTAGAACACTTTAGTTAAAATTAAATTTATAATTTAAAAAATTATAACTTCAATATGCAATCAATCAATACACAAATTATTAACAAAATATTTTATATTCTTATTTTGTTTGTCTTGAGTGTTTGAAATCCAGTGTGTGTTTTGCATTTGCAGCATTTCATGTGGAGGCGAGTGTCTACAGTATTGGACAGCACAGCTCTACTGTGCCTGTGTATAAGAGCTGGTCAGAAGCCAGGAGTGGCTATCGAATTGGCCAGGGCATGATAGGGCATGAGCAGTCCTGGAGTGATGGGAATGAGCACTGGAGTAGGAGTCAAAGGCTCTGAGGCCAGTCATGGTTCTGCAGCTTACTGTTGCATAATCGTGGACAATAACTGGTCTTCATTCACACATGCACGTGTGCATTCACCCACTTATACATCCATCCATCCATCCATTTGCTCGCTCAACAAACGTTTACAGAAGACTAATTCTGAGCCAGGCTCCATGCTATGTTCTGGGGATATTAAGAAAAAAGTCATGCCCTTAAGGAACTCAGAATCCAGAACATCTATAAATATTTGAGAAATTGTTCTGAAGACTGGTAACTGAGAGCAACAAGAAGGGCAGAGGCAGGTGTATATCTTATGTGCCCAAATATAAAGACTTTCCCCCCAAAATGATTCCTCATAAAAAGGGGTTCCCTTGTTTTCAAAGCCTTATAATGTCTCTCATGCTATAAGACAGTCTCTTAATTACTTTATTATTTTTTTTTAATTTCAACAGAATTTTTAATACCCATAACATTGACATAATTGTCTCATGAATTTCCATACGTGTGTTCCCCAGCCACAGAGCCCCCAACCTCTGGCCAGTCCTTCCTCACCTACATCCTCACCTGCCACTCCCACTCTCATATTCAGTCACTTTATTTTTTAAAATAAAATACCACTGAACCTCACTCAGTGCTGAATTGCTTATAGAGGTCACTTGATAGACCTGGTTTAAAAAAGGGGGGGGGGGCCGGGCCGG